GAGCAACTGGGCAGAGAGCTGTTCCTGCACTGGAGAACTGAACAACAGATTTTACTTTATTTAACATGTGGGAAACTTAAGTTGCTCTCTGTCTTTATGATTCATCTCTGTTCTAAAACATCTTTGTACTTACTGATGGAGAGATTACGTTAATATTCTTTGTAGTTCTTCTGTATTAGCATCAGGTACTTTGCTGGTATTTTAGTTAAACGTTCAAAATACTGTACTGAACTGTGACTCTATTGAAATGTTCTTAAGGCAGCCTGCAAAGCAATTGAGCAAGCAAAGAGTCAAAATATCAAGAAACTAATTATCTACACTGACAGCAAGTTCACTATTAATGGTGAGTTGATTATTTTAGAGTTCCTGATTACATAAAGCACACAGGACATACTGGGGTTTGTGGAGACTTCTTATATAAAGAAGAGAACGTATGACAAAATTCAATTCTCAAGACTGCTTGGTGAAAAACTTGCAGAATACTGTAAGGATTACCTTCTGTCTGCTATACAGTTAGAGACCATTGCTTGTAATAGTGAAGAATGGCAGAAGTAAATGAAAAAATGAAATTTTTTTGTCTTAATGTACCCAGTATGGCACATACAGTCTAGAAAAAAATATTGTTTGTGGGCCTTCTGTTAAGGAAGTCTTCAAGAGAGTACTCAGAAGTTGGTGTAGTGACTTTGCAGTTTCATTTTGGTTTGTTTTGACTTCTTGGGTTGGAGAAACTACATGTACACAAATGTGAGCTATATTTGAGGTTTCCCTCCTTTCCACATATGGATGGCCAGAATGTTAGATTTTGTTCTCTAGAAATCTGCTTATGTGTTCCTTCTCTGAAGTGTTCTGTTTAGCCAACAGAAATCTTAAAATATGTGGTCATCTGTTTCTCCTCTGTGTGTTTACGTCTTCAGACAAAACAAATTTGTTCTAGTTTATTGTACAATCAAGCAAATCTTTAGCTTCAGTTTGTTGAAGTTCATGTCATAATTATGCGTGGAATGTGTATGTAAAGCTGTAATCTTTAAATACCTGTTCAGGAAAACACTGTTGGTATTTCAAGTAATAATGAGAAAACATAATCCTGAAGACCAAATAAGAATATTTTCTATGATGTTTTTGCCTGAGACTTTGTATGGAATGTGTTGAAAGACTTGTGAAACTTTTATGATAATACTCCCTTTGCATAGGTATTACGAGCTGGGTTGAAAACTGGAAAACGAATGGCTGGAGAACAAGTTCAGGAGGAAGCGTGATAAATAAAGAAGATTTTCAAAAACTTGATAGTCTATCAAAAGGCATAGAAATTCAGTGGGTGAGCACCTCATTTCTTCTTCCCTATGACATCCTAAATACTTGTGTAAATTCTTACTAACTAGGACCATGGCAATGAATTGTATAGGATATAAAGCTATACATCTATAAATACAGTGGATCTGCTTGTTTTATTTAAAGCAAGTGAAATTATCACTTCAGTGTAAGCTAGTCTCTTGTAACCACTATTTGTTTGTTAAAATGCATGTTTTTTTTTTTTTATTGTTTCTTGTTACTACTTAGAAACTGCCTAATAATTATTTCAATTTCTGAAAATGTAAGCTTGGAACATAATAGTGTCTTCTTGAGTTGTAACTGCTAGAGTTGCTTATCAAAGCTTTTAAGATACTGGATCTTCTGTGTAACTTAATCGTACGTCTGCCTTTAAACCGGGAAAACTAAGATTGTAACCCCAAATCAACTCTGGTTTTCTGTACCTTAGTATTTTTTTCCAAGAAAACTGAGCACATAAGGGTCTTTAATGTAAAAAATTGAAAAAAAACAGATAGTGAGGTGTTACACAGCTATTGGTTTTAATGGTGTAGCTTTCTGGGAAAAGTTGACTGAATGTCAGAGAGGTTTTCTCTTTCATCTGAAGGTAGGACTTCTGAGTTAGTAACTAAGTGTTAGTGCTGTTTTCTGCCTTTTTTTTTTAAAGGCTAGGTTAGGTGCTCCTTAGACAGCTCACCACTTCTTATAAAGATGGTTTTTGCAATCTGGCAATCCAGTTCTTGATCTTTAATGAGAGTTTACAATCATTACTGGGAAGAACACGTAAGGACTTAATATGAGTTCCTCTAAGAAGCTGCTACTATGCTATGAATAGAAGGGCATTATGTGCTCAAGTTTCATGTATGTGCTCTTTTTTTGGATTTCTTTCATGTCTAACACTCCTTACTTTTGTCCTAACAGATGCATATTCCTGGTCATGCTGGTTTCCAAGGAAATGAGGAAGCTGACAGACTAGCAAGAGAAGGCGCTAGTAAACAAAAGTTGTGACATACTGGGACTGGAGACTGTTGCAGTTGGAGGAAAAGGACTAATGTAGCAGTGACAGTTTGAACTGCTGTTGCTTCAGAGTTGAACTTTGAACTGTGCTTATTTCTAGCTCAAAGTACTAAATGTATAACCAACTTCAGGGGAGAAAAAAAAATGCATCTATTTCATCTATGCTGTTTGTTTTACAATCAGATCAATATTTAATTGATGATAAACTGCTTTTTTCCTTCATCTTATTGAAGTGCTGCTGTCAGTGTTTTTGAGCGGTCTCATAGGTTTCTGAATTCACCATAAAGACAGACTTCAGAAGAAATGATACTAAATTTTTATCCTGTGTGTTCTTTTATTTCCTTCTTATGAAATAAATTATTGTTTGTTTGTTTTTGTACAGAAGTATATATTAATGGTGCAAAATTGTTGAGGAGGTGAAGTTGGTTGGATGATTTGATAAGAGATCAATGATGTGACATGAAGATGTTTATTAATAAGCCTTAGCATTCTGACAGTAGTATCGTCCTCTCAGATGTCCCAAAGAAGATAATTGGCCATTTTATCTGAGGTGGAACTGGGAGATCTGGCAAGTTCCAGGTTGTCAAGCATTTGACTTCATTTTTTCTAGTCAGTGTTGAGATGAGTGGAATGACTGATGTGCGCTTGAATTAGAGAGTAAATACTGCTGCTCAACAAGTGTTATTTTTTATGTATCTATGAAGGAAAGGGAAACGTCTTTGTCAACTATTTTGTAAGGCATCTGAATATTACTGACAGTAGTGCTTAAGTTAGAAGTCATTGAGGGTTTTTTTTTTTAATTTGTTAATGGCTGCATAGATCACTGGAGCTGCTGAAGCTTGATTTCTTAATGGTTCTCATTCCTTTTAATATCCTTATTCGTGGAAAATTGCATGCTTTTAGGTATTTAGTGTCACGTGAATTGTGATGGAGCTAGGAAATTAGTTAGTCTATTTACTAATAGATGGGAGAGATTTTGTGTCATCCAAAATTGCATGGTAGTTGCACCTGACGGGATGAGGTAGTACACTGACAACATTTTGTTCTCTGGGTCTTGTATATGTACGTATATATGCATGTGTACATCTCTGCATATGTACGTGTGTGTATATACGTGCATTTGCTAGGGTTGCTCTGGAGGTGATACCTTCTATTGTGTTGGCCAACAGTGTCAGAGATGGATGTTGGTGTTATGGCAGTAAAAGCTAAACCTTCCCGACAGTATTGTTACGTTTTGTTGCTGTGTGACTGATGGCAGCAGAGGGGCAGTCTGACAAAATGATGTCTGATGTGGAAGTGAGAATGAAACAGGTGTGGAATTGAATTTCTCCATGTGGAAAAAGTTGCACCTATTAACATTCATCTACACTTGCTGAACATTCATGGAGACCAAACAGTGGATGTGAGCACAGTGAGGTGGTGGGTGGTGCATTTCAGCAGTGGTGACAGTGATATAAAAGAGAAACCACATTCAGATAACTTTGAGTGTAGTATGGAGGCTGTCAAAAATGCAGAGCTAATGGTGGCAACTATATTGAAAAATAGCATTTTGTAGCTGAGAATTTGCTCTATCAAGTAGTGTTATTGTGCTCTTTGTTGTAGTTTCTGTGAAAATATATGGGAGGTGTTACTTTCAGAGCAACCTATGTATACACATACACAACTGTCTTTTCTTACTTTAGAAGTTCGACTTGGAGGAAAGTATGTAGTGATCCTGATCAGATCTCTAGCTGAAACAGTTAAACAGCATGACAGACGTGCTGAAGAAGTGTCATAATCTCCAGATCATACCTCTTGTGTTAAATGTGCAGATCCTACTTACTGCATGGAAATCTGTTATTTGGAGCAGCAATTTTGAGGAAACTGTGAAGATAATAGTGGGTAAGTGGTAAGCAGCAGCATCACACTATTTAAGTTACTTTACTGCCTGAAGGATTTCTGCAATGTGGAAACAAGAAATTTAATTGTCTGGAGCACAAGTCTTATGAGGAGCGGGTGAGGAAGCTGGGATTGTTCAGTCTGGAGGAGGCTCACGGGAGACCTCATGGCACTTTACAACTTCCTTAAGGGAGGTTGTGATGAAAAAGGGTCTGGCCTCTTCTCCCAGGCAAATAGTAGGACCCGAGGAAACGGCCAGAAGTTATACCAGAGGAGGTTTAGGTTGGACATCAGGAGAAACTTTTTCCCTCAGAGAGTGGTCATGCACTGGAATGGCTGCCCAGGGAGGTGGTGGAGTCGCTGTCCCTGGCAGTGTTCAAGAGGCATCTGGATGAGAAGCTACGAGAGATGGTTTAATAGCTTGTGCTACTGGGAATGGGAGGGTGGTTGGACTAGATGATCTTGCAGGTCGTTTCCAACCTTGCGATTCTATGATTCTAATAGGAAGCAGTTTTGTTCTAGTTGTTACTAACGTTTATTTCTCATTCTGGAAATGAAAGAAGAATGCCCATAGGACTATGAACAGATTGAAGGATGGGAAGTGAATAGTATTTCTAAAGCAGGCTTAGGAGACGCTTGAGGTCGAGAACGTTGGCTGTTCATGGGGAATTCATTCTTCATGGGGAACTGAAACTTCAGAGGTTGTTTTTGAAGAAGAAAGTAATTGGAGGCCTCCAGGAGCTGCCCGAGATCTTGGCGCCCTCCCCATAGGCCGGGCCTCAGCTGCGGGGCGGGCCGCTGCCGCCCAGCTCCGCGGAAGCTGCCGGCGCCGCCATGGTGGAGGCCTGGTATATGGATGAATCCCAGGAGGACCAGCGGGCTCCCCACAGGCTGGAGCCCAACCGCGCCGTCAGCCTGGAGCAGCTGCGCCGCCTCGGCGTCGCCTACCGCAGAGTAAGCGGCGGGGGCGGGCGGCGCTGCCCAGGGCTGCGAGCCCCAGGACGTGGCTGAGGGACGCCGCGCGGCACCGGGCCGCGCTGCGCTGCGCTGCCCGCGGGAGGCGGGTGGGCGGGCGCCGACGATGCGCGTCATGGCGCCGTGGCCCTGAGGCCGGGAGGCGGCTGCGGGGCGGGCTCTTCTCACGTTGTCTGCCTGCCGTGTCTCTGAAACAAGGGTTTCATGTGATATCCCCTTACAGCCGCGTTGTAAAATCGAGACATAAGTTTTTACGTGTTTATTTGGTAAACCCGTCTGCGTATCGCCCCTGGTCGCTGTGCAGCCTTCACCCCGCTTGATTCCCACCCGAGATGGCGGTGGTGCTGCTACAAACCTGCGGGTTGGGGCTGAATCCTGAGGCACGACGCCCACCAGGGTGAGCTGTGTGTTTGTACCGGACATCTCCGAATGGTGGGATGGTTTGGGTTGGGCATCATATACCAGTACAGGTCAGCAGCTGAGCCCCTGGAGAGGAGCTCTGTAGAGCAGGACTTAGGGGTCCTCTGTGTGCCATTGTGGACATGGCCAGTGGTATCTCAGAATGGCTGGGATTGGAAGGAACCTCAAGGATCATGAAGTTCCAACCCCCTTGCCACATGCAGGGCCACCAGCCTCCTATTTAATACTAAACCAGGCTGCCCAGGGTCCCATCCATCCAGTCTGACCTTGAACAACTCCAGGGACGGGGCATCCACAGCCTCTCTGGGCAGCCTGTTCCAGCACCTCACCACTCTCTCTGTAAAAAAAATTTCCCCCTGACATCCAATCTCAATCTTCCCTCCTTCAACTTACAACCATTTCCCCTTGTCCTGCAGTTATCAACCCTTTCAAAGAATTGACTCCCCTTCTGTTTGTAGGCCCCCTTTAGGAACTGAAAGGCTGCAGTGAGGTCACACTGCAGCCTTCTTTTCTCCAGGCTGAACAAGCCCAGCTCCCTCAGCCTGTCTTTGTAGGAGAGGTGCTCCAGTCCCCTGATCATCTTTGTTGCTCTCCTGTGGACCCTCTCTAACAGCTCCCTGTCTTCCTTGTTACTGGGGGCTCCAGACCTGGACGCAGTACTCCAGATGGGGCCTCACAAGAGCAGAGTAGAGGGGGACAATCACCTTCCTGTCCCTGCTGGCCACCGCTTGTCTGATGGAGCCCAGGATACCATTTGTTCTCCGAGCTGCAAAAGCACACTGCTGGCTCATGTTAAGCTTTTCATCTATCAGGACCCCCACGTCCTTCTCTGCAGGTATCTTGGGTTGCATGAAAAAGAATGCAGCTAGCAGGTTTAAGGATTCTCCTCCTCTGCTCTGGTGAGGCCACATCTGGAACACTGCATCCAGTTCTGAGCTCCCCAGTCCAAGAAAGACAGGGATCTTCTAGGAGTCCAGGGGAGGGACGCAAAGATGGTTGGGGCCTGGAGCATCTGCTTTATGAATGAAGGTTAAGAGGCCTGGGGCTGTTCAGCCTGGAAAAGAGTGAGAGGTGATCACATCAATGTTTGTAAGTTTCTGAAGTGCAGGAGTCAAGTGGATGAGGCCGGTCTTGTTACAGTGTGCTGCAACAGGATAAGGGGTAAAGGGCACAAATCCAACACAATTCCATATAAGCATGTGAAAGACTTTTACTGTGAAAGTGATGGAGCACTGGAACAGTCTGCCCATACAAGTTCTGGAATCTTCTCTGGCTATATTCAAGATCTGCTTGAATGTTTACCTGTGTGACCTGTTGTAGGGAACCTGTTTTAGCAGACTGATTGGACTTGATGGTCCCCACTGGTCCTTTCCAACCCTTGTGATTCACTGATTTGTAAGAGACATTTCAAAGTATCCTTCTTGGGGTGGTTCCAACAGAAGAGCTACGTGATGGATAACTTCTGGTACAAACCGTAAATCAGCCATGCCTCAGCTGTAAAATGTATTCATTAAGAGCTCAGGATTTCTCTTCCCAATAATCATACCTCCTGGGCTTGAGGAGTGCAGCACAAGCAGTGCTGCAGAGTGGCAGTGCCTAGTGGGGATGGGGATGTGTGTTGGCGGTTGAGGCTCCAGCCTTTGAAGTTCTTTGCAGGCTGTGCAAGGTAAGGACATGCTGCAAGAGTTAATAAACCATAGCAGATCTTGCCATTCTGAAACCTCAGGTAACCTTCTGCTTGTCTGTTTTTAGCATCTCTCCCAGTTTCAATAAATTTGGCATGAGAGCAGAAAAAGTGAAGTGTATCCAGAGCAGTTTATTAATTTCTGACACAATCAGCAAAGAGCTCAAACCCATGACTCTCTAATTTAATCTTATTTGTTGCTGCTGTGCTGCTGCTGCTGTTGTGTGTGTGACAATAAGCTTGTGTGCTTGGCAGTCGAGTCATGCTGGGTGAGGAAGCAGTGCTTAAAGAACTGGTACCAATCCATATGTGTCTGCCAGCACTTCTGAACCTCAGAAATGGCTGCAGCAGCAGCAGGAAGGCTCCCCAGATGGCTTCAGTGGGGCTGATACAGGCAAATGCAATGAATCTGGCTCCTGAATGAGAATCAAGTTGTTGAAGCAGTGTGGGAAGGCAAGCGTGGTTTTCGATGACGAGCTGACATGGGATGTCCGTGGTGGTTTTGAAAACTCAGGTTTTTATCATTTTTGGTCTTCCCATGTTAACTAAATAGTAACTTCTAGACTTATTAGTATCTGGTACATTACTGAGTGTGCACTGGTTGTCCTTTTGTGTGTTCACCTTTCTGTCTTGAAAGGCAATGGTATGTGCCTTGTGTACCTATAAGGAGCTAACGTAGCCACTCAGGTTATCTGCCTGCCCATAGACAACAACTTTGTTTTTCCACATTAGTATCTTCAGTTGTGTTTTAAGTGACTGTGTCTGAATGCATTTTTTTTTCTGCCTGTTTTTAGTTGGATGCTGATAACTATGAGACTGACCCACATCTGAAAGAGATTCGGGAAGCAGAAAATTATTCTTGGATGGATATAATAACTATACATAAAGACAAGTTGCCAAATTACGAAGAAAAGGTATGCAGGCCATCACTTTGAATGAGGATTTGCACTCTGAATTCTGCTGCTAGAGTGCAGAGTCAGCTTTTTAACGTATGCTTATTACATACGCTCTGAGAGATTAAATTCATGTTTAAAATACATCTTGTACTAAAGTCCTTAGCTTTAGTAAAATAAATGTTGATGCTGTTTCTAGAACAAGGAAGGGATAGGCCTTTTGCTTCTGTAGGTTGCCTGCAAAGTTTTTAGGCTACTTTCCGTCACTGTGCCATTTTGAAACTCGGAGCCCTGCAGATAGTCAGAGATCCTAACCAGGATGAAGGCAGGCTGTTCCCAGCTGTGTATGGGCTTTGAAGGCTGAGACATCCTGCTGGCTGTTGCAAAATATATCTTCTCAAAATGAATGTTAACATCATGGAATTTGAGGGATATGTTTCCCTTACAAGATGATTTGTTAACTTGGGAAGTAAACAGCTTGGCTATTTGGAAGCAGGTGAACACAAGCAGTGCCAGGCCTTGAGTCTTCTAGAAGGAGTGTATTTTTCCCTGCCTCAGGGCATTAGACTGCTGTTCTGATCTGAATACGGCAGCCTGGTGGTATTTCAACATTTCCATTAAATCTGTCCTCTTACCAGTTTGTTTTAGGCCCATTATTACGCTGATTTCAAGTTTTTTAGAAGCTGAATTACATAGTAATTTAAGTGCCCTGGATGAGTTCAGCATTATGCAAAGATAGAGGGCTGCCGTGCTGAATCAGTAAAGGCTGAGAAGTGTTTCAGGCACGCCTGTGCTAGCATGGATAAAAAGTACCCGGACCCCTGGGTCTGGCTGACTGGATTGGCCATTTTAATCCTGCTGGTTTCATCTGTTAGTTAAATCACTGCATCGCTGAAAGCCTTTGTCTGCTTTGCCAAATGTTTCAGCTAGATTCCTTTGCAGTTTTTCTATATTTGGTATTAATAGATACCTCCTATCCCCAGATAAAAACATTTTATGAAGAGCATTTACATCTAGACGATGAAATTCGTTACATCTTAGATGGATCTGGCTATTTTGATGTTCGAGACAAAGATGACAAATGGATCCGGATTTCCATGGAGAAAGGAGACATGATAACCCTCCCTGCTGGCATATATCACCGATTTACACTGGATGAGAATGTATGTTATCATAAATTACCCTAAATTTTGATGACAAATGGATGTGAGTATGTATCTTATTGGTAACTGCATGCCCTGAGACTTGCAGTTCATTAGCAAAGCATATTAAATATGAAGTAGGAATATGAAAAATACTAAATAATTCATAGCATTTGAACCTATCATCTCCGGGTCAGAAATTCAGCTTAATCTCATCAGCTGTAACTGCAAGTCATTGCCACGTGGTATCCATAGCATACCTTGTGCGACGGTGGCCTGAGAGCCAAACCCTGCAGCTGTCCCTCGCACAGTTGCCCCCACTGTCAGCTGCAGTGTGGAGATGAATCCCTCTGTGTTGCGTGCCTTTGTAGGGCCAGACAGAGCATATCTTTGTACGGCAGTGGCATTCTTCATAAGTGCTAAATTCACCTTCAGGGAAAGAATGATTTAAGGCTGCAGAGCCACTGCATGCTGCTAGCGTATGCTAGATTGAATGCTGACTTCACAGGAGGTGACCTGCTTTTGGAGAGTGTTTTGGCAGATGGATTGTGAGATTGCACACGTAGTCCTGATCTGTGTGCCTGCCCTTGTGGACTCTTACAAATACGTTTTTAATCCTAGCATTAGCCCTGGTAGATAGGGAAATGTGTGCTGTTGTCTCGTGTGTGGCAGAACTCCCTTTCTAGGATAGTCCCGAGTGTGGTATGATTTCAAATCAGATGTCTAGATAATGTTTGTTGTTTACGTAAATAATAACAATTATAATAATAAAGATTTAAAAAAAAATGCTGTTTTGGTGATATACCAGAGATTTCTTGTCAACATTTTGAGGTCTGTGGTGAATCTGCTACAATTGCTGGTTTAAAGCTTTTACTTTACATACACAAAATATGAGGGATTATGCAGTGAATCTACAAGATGTTACAAATGTTTATGTTCACTTTGGGAACTTTAGTCTAGAAATGTTACTTTCAAAATCTCCCATACATTCTTTAGGTACTTCTAAACCCTTGGGTTTTGAGGCTCAATTTTTTAGGTGCCTAATTTTATTCTTGACATTGCTGAGTATACAAATGCAAGATAAGCACTTAGCAATGTTTACAATATAGGTAGGGCCTAAACCTGTAGTGTAGCTGGCAGTAGAGGAGAGATGAGTTCCCCATAACTCAGTGGTTGGAGCATTTCTGTGGGATGTAATCCTCCATTCTGCTACCACAGCTTCACATTCCTACCCAACATGCTTCTGGCTGACTGCTGGCCTACTGCTTTGGAAATCTGGAGAGTTTTGCTTTCTGCAGTGTTGTTTTTTGGGTAGTTTATGCATTGAGCTTTTTGAGGCCCTCGTTTTGAAGCTTTTGATGCTCCTCAGGCATTCTGTAGAGATCTTGGGTCTTCTGATTTTTGTTGTTTAACTGAGCAAGTAGGAATTAGATGCTGCTCTGCTTGGTGCTGTGGATCCAGTGCAAAATGATTTGCATAAAACAGGATTTATTTGGTTTCATTGATCAGGTGGAAGTACTGTCTGCCCACTCTGGACGCACTGGTTGTGACACAACATACATCCCTGCATAGGTGCAAAATCTCACTGCAGGAGCTGGCAACAGCAGCATCATGCTGCAGTGTTCTGGGACAATGAAGTTTTCAGTCCATCTTGAAATGCTTTCAGGAATTGCTGCATAAATGCAAATTAAAACATTAATTTCAGGATTTGCCACAGAAAAGAAATCTGAAATTGCTTGTGACTTTTTGTTCTTTGACAGAACTACGTGAAAGCAATGAGGCTTTTTGTTGGAGAACCAGTCTGGACAGCATACAACAGACCAGCTGATGATTTTCCTGCTCGGAAACAGTATATGAAGTTTTTGGCCGAAGAAGCACAGTAATGATGTCTGAGACCTGACAGGTGGAATAGCCTGAAGCCAAGTAGAATAAATGTGATTGGTGTTCTTTCAACTGATTACACTACTAGTTGCATATACACTTAGAATCACAGAATCACAGAAAAATGTAGGTTGAAAGGTCATTTGGAGGCCATCTAGTCCACTCTGAAGCATGGGGCCAACTTCAAAATTAGATATACGGCCTCTTGGGTTTTGAAAATCTCTGGTGCAGGAGACTCCACAGTCTGTCCAGGCACCTCTTCCAGTGCTCAGTCAGTCCCACAGTCAGGAAGTTTTCTTTTTTATGGCCAAATCCCCTGGCACAGCTTATAATTGTTTTCTTTTGCCTTGGAAAGAATCTGGCTCTGACTTCTTTGCAGTCCCCTCTCTAGTGGGAAACTCTGGTTATGTCTCCTCTCAGCCTTCTCATCTCCAGGCTAGACAAACAAGTGTCCTAAACTGGACTTTGGCAATCCAAATTGTTTATGAAGGTAAACATGATTGTCCCTGTTTTTGACTACTGAGGAATGTCACTTGTAACTAGCTGACAGTTAAACTTCAACGAGTCCAGTGGCCCAGATTTTTTTCACCCACTGTGTAGTTGTTATCCTCAGCCTGACTACAGTGCTACAGTGGGGAACAGTTGAAAGCCTTACTGCAATCCACTGTTTTCCTCTGCTGCAGAGCCAGTTATTTTCTCTGAGAGGGCCTGCAGAATGGTCAGACAGAATGTGCCTCTGGTAAATTGTTGCTGACCTTATGTTTTCAATCTCCTATTTTGTGTGCCTAGAATGGCTTCTGTAATGGCTTGTTATAGAATCATAGGATCATTAATGGTGGGAAAGACCACTGAGATCATCAAGTCTACCTTTCAGCCATCACCACCGTGCCCCTTTGTGCCATGTCTACTCTTTTCTTGAACATCTCTGGGCTCGGTGATTCCACCACCTCCCTGGACAGCCTGTTCCAATGCCTCACCACTCTGAGAAGAAATGTTTCCTAACATCCAACCTGAACCTCTCCTGGCCTTTGAGGCAGTTATCTGTCATCCTATCACCGCTTACCTGGGGGAAGAGGCCAATTCCCACCTCGCTACAACCTCCTTTCAGGCACTTGTGGAGAGTGAGAAGGTTTCCTCTGAGCCTCCTCCAGACTATTCCATAGTTTGCCTGGGGACTGAAGTAAGGCAGGTCAGCCTCTTTTCCCCCACATCCTATTACTCTCCTTTTTGAAGATGGCAGTAACAGTTGCCTTTTTCTGGCCACGATGATCTCCATGATCTCTAGGACCTTTCAGAGGTGCCTTGCAGTGCCATTAGCCATATACATTTACAGTTGCTCAGGAATCCATTTTCTGACCTTTTTCTCTTGATGTTTTTGGCAGGTAGACTTGGGAGAGCTGGGCTCCGTTAATATTCATTCTGCTCTGAATCAGTGCTAATGAACTACGTAGGATTCTGTTTTTAATTAAAGAGAATAAGCCCTACTTCATTCTTGTCTAAAAATGTTCATAAGATAAATCTACATAATCAGCATTTTAGCATGCAGCCTCCCTCATTCTGACCTAGTACATAAAGCTTTGGTTTTCTCTCAGCAAAATGTAGCAGTTTTCTCCTGTGATTTATTAATAAAATTAATTTGACTTTGGGGTATGTGGTTTTCTTTCTTTCTTTTTTTTTTTTGTCTTATGCTGATATTAAGGACACATGAGCAGCACTGTTACTGCAGCTGTTATTCAGCATTTATTTTCCTTGGTCATGCTTCTCTGTAGCACTGGATGAGTCATTGATTGTGTGCCTCAGTTTCTTCAGCTGTGAGATGGAGTGGACTTAAACCTGCAGGTCCGTCTTTCAGTAAATGCCTCACAGTTATGCAGGATGTGCTGCTCCTCAGCAACAGGCACAGAATGGTTTTGGGATGAGTGCTCACCCATTTTTGAAGGGAAACGGTAAAAGCTTTTATTTTAAAAGTTGAAAACATTTAGTAAAAAAAGCATGTGTAGTTCTGCCTTTGGGTTTTGGACCGCAAGGTAGCAAAAGAGGCAGGTACACCATGTGTTTGTGTTGGCAGAGCTGGGCTCAGTTTGTGCAGTAGGGTGCGTGCACAACCCACACTTAGAAAGTGAAAGCCTGCACAGAACTTAGATCAGCCTGCGCAGCTTCTGTGCAGGGTTTCCTAAGCCTGCCTGAAAACTGAGTTACCATCAAAAACAAAGTTTAATTAGAGTCAAGTCCATTGGCTAAGCTTGTATGGTTGCTGTGCTGTGCTATGCCATGTGGTTCAGGGCTCTGTGTGCCATGGCCATGGTAGCAGCGCTGGAGTGCCTCTTGTACAGCACTAAATGCACTGAGGCACCCTGGTCCTGGAATAAACGTACGGGATTTTTCCAGATACAGCTACAGGATTAAACAACAATTATTGCCAGCAACGGATTTGATTTCTTTGTCTCATATGCCACAGGAAGTCATATTTCTGAATACAGTGTAAAAATAACTCCTTTCTCCCGATGCTGCTCTTAATCCATGGTATTCAGTCTAGATTCTCTCTTCCCCTTAAACAGAAGTCGGCACGAGACTGTTCGTTCCTCCTCCACGTACAGCACCATTACCCCATGGCAGACCAGGAGCCACCAGAAGGAGACCAGGCAGTGCCCTCTGCTTGTGAGAGGCTTACAGCGTAGGGATGAAGGGATAGGTACAGGAAAGGAGCTGCCCACTGCAATTGCTTTCAACATCCCACTGATATAGAGTGTGACCTCGGAAACAGGGCTGAACCACCTTGTTTTGTTGCCTCTCTGGAGGAATATAAACACCCAGTGCAGCTCCCGTCTCCGAGCTGTCAGGGATAACACACGATAACACTGCCAAACACCATTCATCATTTTCATAGCACAATGCATTCTGTCACTGAGGGGTGGCTGTGACTGTGAGAGTCTCACTGTGAGCACTTTTAAGCACATGCCCTTTAGTGCTGTAGGTGTTCTTGAAAGGCTGAAAGCTTTGCTATCCAGAAGTATTTTTGTCAGCCAGGAAGAAAGCAATTTGGGGCCAGTAAAAGGATTCTGTGAAGAGCTTGCATGGGAGATTACACTGGGGGGAAAAATGTTAATATTAATAGAAAACACTCCAGGGAGCGGAGGGAGAACATGCAGTTCCTTTAGATGAGAAATGCTGTTTATTTTTATAGCTTTTTTTTTTCCCCCACATACTACATATCTAAAAGTGAGAAGTGGAATCAATACTTTCTGGTCCAAAAACATGAGTCTGTTTACTGCAGCTAGTGGAAAATCTCAGTGCATTGAAGTAGTATTAAAATTTATGTGTTTCCAGCAACGTCATGTTGGCAGCAGTAACACAGATGAGGGGAATATTTCATCTGCTTCAGGATTAAAGAAAAAAAGTAGGATAAATGGTATTGCATTGAGGGGTTGGAAGATAGCTTGTAGGGTATCCGTGTATTATTTTTCACATTAATGCAGACTTGTTTGTAAGTGCGTGTACATAACTTTATCATGACCAGCTTGTGAGAGCTTAGCCTTGTTTTTGCCATGAACTCAAGGAAAGCTGATCAATGGGCCATTTACTAAATTAGATGGGCAAACCGGTGGCCACAGAATCCATGACTTTGGCCTCCTCTGTTATATATCCCCAGGTAAGTGTCTTTGGCTGAGATAAGAGAGACACGGGTCTGTTGGAGCTTGTCCACAGGAGGGTCGCCAAAATGATCCAAGAAATGGAACACCTCTCCTGCAAGGACAGGCTGAGAGCTGGGGCTTTTCATTCTGGAGAAGGCACTGAGGAGACCTGAGAGCGGCCTTTCTGTACCTACAGGGGAGCTGGAAGGAAAAAGGGGGCACTTCTTATCAGATTCTATTGAGATAGAACAAGGGGAAATGTTTTTTAACTAAGAGAAAAGTGAATAGATTGGATATGAGGAAAAGGTTTTTTCTTGTGATAAGGGTAGTGAGGCACTGGAAAAGAATGCCAAGTGAGGTGGTGACTGCCCCATGTCACACTCGAGGAGGCTCTGAGCAACCTGATCTAACTGTAGGTGTCCCTGTTCATTGCAGGGAAGTTGGCCTGGATGGCCTTTAAAGGTCCCTTCCAACTCCAACGATTCTGATTCACTTGGCATAGCTGGAAGCCTTAGTGCTGGGACATGTCACAGCCAGTCTGCAGTTCACTGACAGCATCCACACCAGGCACTTGGTCCTGTGCGTGCTGCCTGTAGGTACGTACAGATGAGATCTTCAGCCAGCTAGCTGAAGGAAGTGCTGATGGAAGGGCTGTCCCAGCCTGCGCTGCAGGGTGCAGGGGCTGTACTGCTTTCTGTGATTGCAGAGCTTGCGCATGGCTGTCGGCGGCTGAGCTTGAAGAGAAAAAATCTTCATGTATTCAGAGTAGTGAGCTCTGCCGGCAGAGCAGGCACTCTTCTGCCTCGTTTCTGACTCCAGATTTAGCTAGAGATAAAAATCTATTGGAAGGGACAGTGTCACGACAAAGGCGATCATTTAATATTGGCTGGAAGAGAGAGATGCACCTAACGGCTGAGGTGGCAGCTGAGCACCACACTGGAGAATGTCCCTTGTTGCCAAACAGCGGATTTATATTTAGGTCAGACAGACACTGGGAACCTGTTCTGTTCTGTGTTCAGAAATTACATCATCTGTTTGGGATTTTGTCCTCTGAAAATGATAGAAATTCTCAAATTCCCCTCTCTCCCCAAAACAAGGTCACTGTCAGTTGTCTTGTTTCCTGAAGCCAAATAAGCACACCAACACATTGGGGAATGAGGCAGTGTTACCATTTAAATATTCCTTGCTCGGAGATCTGTATTTGATCTGAATTGCTGCACTCACTGTGACTTTACGATTTGATTCCCCAAACATTTTGCATTTGCAAAAATGTACTCAGATATACTTGCAACTTGAAAAACCTGTGATTCTATGCAAGTCGCAAGCTCTCATTTTGTTAACTGTGTTAATACCCAGACAAGACAAAGAAAGAAAACGTGGAAAAGTAAAAAGTTTGGGCAAAGATTCAGCAGTTAAAGGGATGAGGACATCTTTTAATAGTGGCTTCTCCTGCTGTTGCTCTCTGTGGGATACTCCCACTAATTTTGAGAAGTTCCCTGCCATTTAATTACCTTCTATGCTGCTTGTCAGGGTACCACTATGTATGTTGTGACTATCAATGAGCCTCATCTACTGGTGGAATGTTGGACTGAGTCTGGTGGTGGCTATATGGCCCTGGCACCTTGAACCTAAATAACAGCCCATTCTCTCCCTCCCTTTGTGGGTAAATTGCGAGCTGTTGTTGCTGGCTTTCAGCTTTTTCTTTTTTTTTTTTTTTCTTTTTTTTATAATGACGAGCACTCTTGTGTATATATAACAGAGGATTGTCTGCAAGTGTGCCCAAAGCTAGGATAGGATGAGATGGTGTCAATCCAGAACAGCCAGGATAAGGCAATAGCTGCATCCCCCTGCCCACCATTTTACGCTCTCATTGTAGATGAGAACCTAAATTTGTAGTTCCCAAGCTGACTTGCAGAATAGCAGCTTTCCACAATCATTGCCATCAAGCCAGTGCTGGTGCTGGTTTGCATTCAGTACCACAGAACCACTGTTCAGGTGCTAAAAAGTCCGTGCAAGCTCCTACAGAGTGAAGTGTCTCTCTGTTAAAATACGTATTTTCCAATGTTCTATCAAGCAGGTAGAAAGAAAGGAGGAAAATGGCGCCTTCCTTAGAGGTCATTTTGTATGGAAGAACTCATGTTTAGAACGACCATGTTCTAACATCTTTAGAGTTTCATTGGCCTTCGTGACATTGAGCAACTTGAGAGATTGGTTCTGGCTGCTGTGCTTCTACCTATCTGCAATGTATTTAAATCTGAGTGTGATGATTTGGTCCTGCTTTCAGCATGCTACTTTTAGACTGATTGCATGCTGAAGCAGTGGAAGCGTGTTTCTCACTACAGTAAATATGTCTGGAGATGGGGCACTGAGTATCTTGCAGAATTCTGCTGGGTGGCTGCAATGCATTTGATTGATGAAGTGCATTAGGTGGCACACAGGTGAGATGGACGTAACTTACTGTGCACACTTTATTTATTCCCTTGTTTTGACGTGGAAGGCACCTGCAGCAAAGGCTTCAGAAAAGCATAGTGTGTCTTACACTACTATCCGGCAGAAAACCTGCCAGTCCCCCGGGTGGGTGGTCAGTCCTGGCACATCCTTGTTCTGTAACCCTCCGGATGCACATCAGACTGAGGAAGGCTTTGGCTGCCAGGTCAGCGTTTCTGCAGAGTCACAAGCTCAGCTTGCGTGCAGCTGCATGAGTGTTTGTACTGACATGAAGGATGGGGCAGGAAGAGGAGCGGTCACCCTGCCCGGTGTTCAGCAGTCCACTGCAGGCTGAGGGCACAGGCATGTCTGCATGTTCCTTTTGGGAACATATCGTGTGTCCAGTGTGAAAGCTGAGGCACGAGGAACATCTCAGTGAGCAGCTGGTAGGAGGATGCTGCCATCACCTGAGCTGCAGCTGGGTACTAGAAATGGCAGAGAGCTGCTTATGCGCTTTGGAGGATCAAGGTCTCTGTGCATAATGTAATTATCTGAATGTCTGAAGTACAGTTTATTTGCTCTTTTAATAAA